GGGTTCAGCACCTATCCTAGGTGCAAATGAAGTGGCTTTTTGGTGCCCACTCTCTATGGTGGGATCCCTTGCTCATACCTGATACCGGGGGAAGGGACTTGATCCTGCCTCAGCTTGGTATACCAGACTTGTCTCCTACCCTCACAAAAATGAAAACAAGCTAAAGACAGGGTCTTAGTTTGAGGAGACATCATGACTCATCATAACTCAGAAAAGAAAGCATTTAATTGGAGGCTTGCTTACAGTTTTAGGCTTGATTACATTATCATCATGGCAGATGCCCTGATCAGGTGCCCTGATCATCTGTCTCTTCCACAGACTATCACTTTGGTTCACTATATTGACATTATGCTCATTGGACCAAGTAAGTAGGAGGTAGCAACCACTTTGAACTCATTGATAACTCATGTACATCAGAGGATGGGAAATAAATCCAGCCAAAATTCAAGGGTGTTCTACTTAGTGAAATTATTAGGGGCCTAGTCATGTGGAGCATGCAGAGATAGATATTCCTTCTAAGGGTGAAGGGTAAATTATTGTACCTGACCCTTCCCACCATTAGAAAGGGGACTCTAAGAGGGACATACATAGAAGGCCCCAGGAAGGGAAAATAGTTAAGAAGATCTCCTGGGTAAACTGGAAGGGGTAGAAGAGGGTGTGGGGGATGGGAACATGAGAGATCAAGAAGACTGAGTTGGGGGAGAATAGAGGGAGCCATTACGGGTTAGGGAGAAACTTGGTGCTAGAGGAATTCTCAGGAATCCACAAGGGTGATCCCTGCTAGAGGGTGTCTAAATTGGCCTCCCCTTTAATCAGATTAGTGACAGCACTGATTTTCCTCATAGAACCTAGAATCCAGTAACTGATGGAAGCAAATGCACTGGGCTGAGCTACTGGAGTGTGTTTGAACAGGGGGAGGTTTGAACATGGGGGGTCAAGACCATGATGGGGAAAATCACAGAGGCGGCTGACTCCAGCTAGTGGGAGCTCACGAACTAAGGACTGACAACTGGGGAGCCTGCATGGAACCGAACTAGATGCTGTCAATGTGGGTGACATTTAGGAGACTTAATCTGTGGTGGGGACCCCTGGCAGTGGGTTCAGCACCTATCCTAGGTGCAAATGAAGTGGCTTTTTGGTGCCCACTCTCTATGGTGGGATCCCTTGCTCATACCTGATACCGGGGGAAGGGACTTGATCCTGCCTCAGCTTGGTATACCAGACTTGTCTCCTGGGGGGGCGGGTGGGAAAGGTGGGAGGTGGGGGGGTAGGAGAAGGGGAGGGAGGGGAACTGGGGTTGTTTTGTAAAATGAAATTTAAGTTTTAAAAATAAAAATGAAACCTAAAAGGCAACAACAACAACAAAAAGAGAAGCACAACCTTTGGTGGAACTATTTGGATTCTGGAGACGGCGCATTCCTCATTTGGGTGTGTGCTATTCCAGACTATATACCAAGTGTCTGGGAGAGCTCCTAGCTTGGAATGGGGCCTGGAAGAGGTGAGGGGTCTTCAATAGGTCCATGCTGCTGTGCAGGCTGTTCTACTGCGCAGACTGTGTGCTCCAGCAGAATGGATGGTACTTGAGGTATCGGTGCTGCTTCCTTGTCTACACCATAATCTTTTATGAAAAATTCATAGTTTATGTTCCTTATAGATAGTTAGAAAGGAATAAAATAAATAGAGAAAATAAAATTTTGTTTTACTTTGTAATACATAGCTAAGTCACTATTAATATTTTGTGTTTATATTATTTGTGTGGTATTTTCTCTTTAATTCAGTGCTTCCTGAAATTTGATGTACATTGGAATAGTCTATAGAAGCTGTTAAAATCAGGCTAGACAACTCATACTAGTTGTGTATCCCTTATGGCATTTCAACAAGTAGTTAAGTGTAATTGTTCTAAAAACAGTTTTTGATGTATTCTTCTGAATTGAAAGAAATAACCTTTCATAGTCTTAATTAAAATGTATGTATGTATCTATGTCTCTCTGCTTTTGTTTTTACATTTTTTTTTTTGAGATAGAGTCTCATAGTCCAGGATAGCCTCAAACTTGTGATCCTCCTGTCTCAGTGTACGACCACAACAAAGCAAGAAGCATATTTTATCTGCTAATATTTAGTTCTCCTTTCTAAAATGTTTGCAAATCAGTTCTGTGTTTAAAGCATTTTGTTCTTGTTGTTGCTAAAGTGCTTGGACTTGAACAAAAGGTCTCTTGACATTCTCTTACTACTGAGATAGATACTTAGCTCCTAAATTTGATGTTGAAAAGATAAATATTATATGTATTTTAAGTGTATATGTATTGTGAGTATTGATTCAGTCAGGTCAAATATACATTTTCAAGTGTGTATTGCTACATTTTAAAACTACTGCATATGCATGCCTGTGTGCATACATGTGTGTGTGTGTGTGTGTGTGTGTGTGTGTGTGTGTGTGTGTGCTCATGTGCGTGTGTGTAGGTTAGAGGACTGCTTAAGAGAGTAGCTATTTCTCTTCTAACATTTTGGTCCCATGATGGAGCTCATGTTGTCAGGTTTGTTGATAGGTACCTTTATCTGCTAAGTCACCTTGATGTCCCATGTATTTCTTTATGGTGAAAACATTCAGTGCAACGTAATATTGTTATAATCACCGTATTTTGTAAAAGCACAGCTCGTGAAACTCATTTGTAGTTGAGAAGCTATTGGCAATAGCTACTGGAAAAAGGAGACTGGCTCTTTCCCCAAAGACACTGCCCATCCCTTAGCTCTACACTCGTGCACATACAAGGCCACACAAAGTGTTCTCAGTGAGTTTGGAAAAAAGGAGGAGGAAGAAGAAAAGAGCACATGAAGTTTGGAAGGAGGAGTGGAGGACAGGGAAAGGGATAGAGGTGCATTGGTCAAAACATCATAGGCATGTACTGTATCTGAGGTTACACTTTAATTTTACTTATATTTGTTAACATTTATATTTTCCTTAATTTTTGTCAGTAGAAAATGATCCTTTGTAATTAAAACCTTTATATTTATTTTTTTTCATTTTATGTACAGGATTATTATATCTCTTTTAGTAGCTGCCTCATATAGTTTGCCATATAGTGTTAATGATGAGTAAGATACAATACAGTGTGAAATTTAGAAGGGAATTGGGCCTCATGCTCCAATGTGCATATATTGGTTGTAATTCCCACAATGCACTTGGATGATCATGTGACCCTGAGTAGAGCAATAGGAGGCAGAATAAAAAGAAGGGAAGAAACTTGTACTATCGATAGTTGGAGAGGGTGCCAAGTCATCCTTTGATTATGCACTTCTGGATTTTTATTGTTAAATCATTATTTGGTTGTTAGTATGTTTTCGATCTGGAAGGGGTATGGCCTAATTTTTAAGGTTTTTGTTAGTTTATTAAGTCATAGATAGGAAAAAACACATTGTGTTCTGGTGGAGGTGAGATCTGTTGAAAAGTGAAAAGTGCATTTTAGACTGAAGACTAATTGGCATTGGGAAGGAAATATTTAAAATGACACAGAAAATACCTAATTTTATGAATTTCTTGATGATTGCTGAATTTTGTTCTTGAATTCTTTATTAGTCAGGGTTCTTCTCTAAAAGAACAGAACTTGTGGAATTCACACACACACACACACACACACACACACACACACACACACACACACACACACACACACACACACACATACATATGGGATTTACTAGATTGGCTTACAGAGTATGGTCCAGCTAGTCCCACAATGGCTCTCTATTAAAGGAAAGCCTGAGAATCCAGTATGCCAGCTGGGTGTCTCAGCTGGTCATCAGTACATGCCAGAACACTGAAGAAGTAGCCTCTACTACCAGTGAAGGAATGGACTTCTTGAAGGAGAAGGAAAGCATGCAGGCAGACAGCAAGCTTCTTTCTTTGTTTTTTATATAGGCCACCAGCAGAAGGAGTGGCCCAAACTAAAGGTGGATCTTCCCACTCAAAAGATCCTGATTAAAAGTGGGTCTTTCCACTGCAAATGATTTAAATAACAACAACAACAAAAATCCCTCTCAGTATACCCTGCCTTCTGGATTTTAGTTCATTCCAAATGTAGTCAATTTGACAAGCAAGAATAGCTATCACAAGTGTGTTTAGTATTTTTAAAATTATTTTTAATTGTGTGTGGGTGATGTGCCTATGAGTGGGGATGCCTCCAAAGGCTAGGGACATTGGATTGATTACTCTGGAGTTGAAGTTGTTTAGGTGGTTGTGAACTGCCTGTTTTGTCTGCTGAGAATGGAATTCTGTTCCTCTGGAAGTGCCCCTTTTAACCATTGAACCATCTCTTCAGCCCTCAAGTAATTTTAGTAATACTGTTTCAGGAAACATTTGATAGCTTTAAAGGCAGACTATAAAACATATATTGTATGGCAGAATGTTTTTACATTTTTGAAAAATTTTTGATAGCTGAAAAATTAAAACCATTTTACTCTTTAGTACTGTTTCTAAGACTGTTTATAAGTTAAGTGTTAAACTAAGTGAAGAACATAGAATCTAACAGAATCCTGAAACTTTATGAACAAATCACTAAGATTTCAAGAATGCTGTATTATATTGAGTACATGGAAAACTTTAGAAAATGTTCAGTGAAGACTAATTTATGTCTCACTAGTAGTTTGACCCCTAAGGTATGCTAATTAGATTGTGACTGAATACAGATTGTAACAGTTAAGTGATCTCATTGGGTACTTTCTAAGACATTGAGGTTCTTAAATTTAATGACACCTTAGATGTCAGCCAGTTGCTTTGTCTTTGTAAGTTGTCTTCATACCGAAACCCTGCAAATTGTTACAGCTTGTGTATCAGTTCCAATAGAGAAAGCTCAACTTTGAGGCTGAATTTCTAAAACTTGAGACAGTTTCTGACTAATGCAGTCCACTTTCCATTATTTTGTGGATTCATAAAATATGGCTTAGATGTGGATGAAATGCTGACCATACTAACTAAGGTTATTCTTACTGTTGTCCCACTGCAGAAAGTTTCTAATGCCTGGGTGAAGATAGGAAAACTGTCAGATAGGCTGAGCACTGTCATACTGTAAGTATCTTTTTGAAAAAGAAGTTTAAGAATATTTCATGTCCATTTGTTTCAGGGAAAATATGTTTAAGATATATGCAAAATATAGAGGTGGATATTATAATCATCTTAATAATTTATAAGAACTAGTCCTGTGTTGCTTTTAAAAATTGAAAATGTGTTCTCATGTATTAAAATGAGGATATTTTTTCAAATAGCATTGAAAAATATTTCTAATTCTAACAAGGATTGATCTTTTCTGTGTACATTTGCTTATTTAAAACTATCAGAATCCAGAAAGTCATTGTAGTTTTATAGGTTGTGATTTGTTTGGGTGGCTTATTGTTTAGGTTATTTTGCAGAATTATTTATTTGCTGATTTATTTATGTATTTCATTATTTATTTATTTGATTATTTAGTAAATTATTTATCTGATGAATTATTAATACATCTTCATGACATGTTTTAAATTATTTATAACTTAATTTTGAGTTTATTGCTTTTAGACGCTGCATTGTTACTGACTAGTTTTGATTTTTTTTCTTTGTGGTTCTTGAAAATTAAAGTATTAGGTCTAAGGTAGCGAGTATATTCATCCCAGTGCCATGGATTTTTTATTTTTACCTTGTTGGTAGTTTATGCCAGTGATGAGATTTTCGCTATGCTTTGTTGTTTAAATTTACCCTTTGAGGGTTACTTGTGTGTGATAAAGTGTCAGGGTATTGTGTATGTGGTCATTGTGAGTCATTTGTTGATTAGTGATAGTGTTTCTTATGTAAACAAAAATGGAACTTGTAAACCTAACTCCACATTATTTTCTGTCTCTCTAAAGGCAGGTCTGCATTTCTTGTTTTAAAATAAGTGATAGAGATATTTGATTTTAGTGGCGAGTCAATTTTACCACTGGAATGCTTTTAGGACAGTTTATAGAATTGAATATCATTTTAGATTTGGGTCCCTTCTTTGTTTAAAGTCAACTATATGGGCATTTGGAAAACAGCAAGATCTTATGTAAATTTTTATGTCACTCATGATAATTATTTCCCAAATCTTACAAATAATATTTTAATAAGTTAGATTGGTTTCTATTGTTAAAATGAATACCATTTCTTCTTCTGATTCTGTGTCATAATGGTAATAATCAGAGCTTTCCTTTAGTAGTTTCTGGACAGGTAAATAGCATTTAAGCGAAGGCATGCCATGTTTGCAACATGACTTTCATTTCCTGTTTCTTAGAGTGAATATGCTTTACAGTTTTTACACTTGGGAGAGAAGATGCACTGTATATCTCAAGTATAGAATGCTATCACTTTCTAGATAGGTTTTTATTACAGAATTGTAAATTATGCACATGTATCCAAATTTCTTACCTTGAAATATTGCATATATTAATATTTAATTAAAATATTGCAGTATTATCTTCTCATGCAGATCTTGAAAAATGTTCTTCAGTGATTTATGTAACATGGATTTAGAAGTGTGTATATCATATATATCTGTGGCTTTTCTACTCTGGAGAAAAGAACTTAATACACCATTAGATATGGAAATCCACTTTGAAATGTTTTTTAATATACTTGTGTGGTCTTTTGAAGAAAAATGTTGCTTTCTCCATTTGCTGAATAAAGTACGTATTAGCAGTCATGGTAATCTACTGAGGGTATGCTATTATTAACACCCACTGAAAGAATACTTACAGCATTGTACAAGTGATCATTCCTGTGATGATACACACCTGGGAATTTCTTCTGACAGTAAGATAGTTTTAATAACTTGTGTTTGAGCCAGCTGGTGGCGCACGCCTTTAATTCAAGCACCCAGGAGGCAGAGGCAGGTGCATCACTGTGTGTTTGAGGCCAGCATATTCTATAGAGCAAGTTCAAGGACAGCCGGAGCTGTTACACACAGAAACCTTGTCTTGAAAAAAACCAACAAAGAACTTGTGTTTGAAAAGAGATATTAATAAGTATTACTTACTTCTTACCATATGCTGCGCAATGTTCACATATTTTACTTGGATTTCTTGACTTGCGCAATGAGGTAACACTGTGATTGTGTAAGTTTTCATTTTGAGGATGAGGAAATAGAGAGTTGGTGATGTTAAGTAGCTTGCTTTTACAGCTAAAAGTAAGTGGAGGGCACTGGCACAAGGAATAATTTAGTCAATCAAAGGGCCTTTCTAAACCTGTTGGTTTTATAAATGTAGATAGTATATAGTATTTAACCAGAGATTGCTCTGCATTTTAGAGGATTTATTTGGTCACCTGTCTCTTACAGGTTTAGCTTGTTCAGTATATTCAGTTTGTGTTTTTACTTAATTATCTTTCTTGAATGATAGACAAATAATTGAACTACTTGGATTTTCTGATTTGATTCTTATAATTTGTAGAGTTAAATAAAACTGCATACTTGTACCTCTGAGATCTTGTGCATTTGCCTGTTAGATGATCAATTCTAAGATCAAATCTTTGACAGTTAAACTCAAGGACATTCCCAGAGCTCAGTTTGATCAAGTATGATTTGTCATAAGGGTAATATTGTTAGGACTACACACATATTTTTGAAAGGATGACTGGTGTTTAGGTTTTACACACATGGCCACTTAACATGTTCATAAACAGGACAAAGTCATTTTAGTTTCTAACGCAGCTACTTATTCTTGAGACAGGCTGCCATTATCTAGCCCAGGCTGGCCTGGAACTTGTTATCCTCCGTTCTCAGCCTCTTATGTGCTGGGATCAGAGACATGCACCATCATGCCCAGTCCAGTACAATTTTTACTCTCAGGGAATAAGAAAAGGTGTCAGTTTGTGTGAGGCTCATCGGTCAGGGTCTCTCCATCTCCATTTGCTACCTGAAAACAGGGAGCTATTCATCTTGGTTCCTAAATAAGTACATTAAGCACATCAGAAAACAGATCAATTAAAAATGGCAGTGTTAGTGTGGGTTGCTATGAATGCCATCGCAAGCAGGGTAGGGCAATTCAAAGTTGTAATTATTCAAATATTGTTAGATCATGAAGCCCTAGTTCATTAGTGATATGATATTACCGTTGCTATGATGACTATGAATTTGTCTTCTCACCTAGGATACTTTTGAAAGTTATTTGCCAGAGTAGGATGTTGTAGAGTGGAGCCTTCCTGGCTTCTGATGCCTTTATATTGTCTGTTGAGCAGGACTTTCACTCGATATACACTATCATTGAACTTGTTTCGTTTTTCTAGATAATGTTTATTACAGGTCACTGTTTTACTTTTGTGTTTGTTTTATACCAGCCAACATGGTTGGTGGCTGTGTCTTTTGGGAAAGGCTGACACTGTACTGCTCATAGAACCTCTTTACTTTTTCTTTTACTTGTTAAATTATGCCTTATCTAGTTAATATAGAAGTGAGGTAATACTTTATGTCATAGCCAAACTTATATTTATTATTTAAAATTTTTTTTCTTACAAAATGTTTTGGTTATATTCTTCCCCTTCCCCCGAATCTTCTCAGATACCCACCTGATCTCATGTTCTCTTTCTCAAAACAAAACCAAACCAAGAAAATGAAGCAAAACACAAACCAATAAGCCATAACAAAAAATACATAAAAACATGGAATCATTTTGTATTGATCAGGTACTCCATTGCATGAGGCCTGCCCTGAAGTGTGGTTGATATACCCAGTGACTGATTTTTCCTCTACGAGCAGGTATTAATTACAGTTAGCTTCTTGGTTAGAGGTAGGACTTTGTGTTCACTTCCTTTTTTTCTTCTGGGACTTGTCTGGTTTTAACCTATGCAGATCTTGAGTGTGCTGTCAGGGCCTCTGTGCTCTTATTTGCATCAGTCCTGCTGTGCCTGGAAGATGCTGTTTTGTTTTTTTTTTGGGGGGTGGGGAATCCTTTGGCTCTTAAAATCTTTCTACTACCTCTTTCACATAGATCCCTGAGTCTTGGAGGGGTGAGCTTGATAAACACATCCCATCCCAATTAGGGCTGGATGATTAGAACTCATTTTCAAGGAGTATGTAAATGAAAGGGTGTTATTATTGTAAATAGGAAAGATAAGCAGGCAAAGTGGACCACAGTAAAGTGGACAGTTGCCATTTTTTCTTTATATCAAATATTGTAGCATTGTTATGTTTCTTTTTATCTTGCAAGTCTGGTAATTAACAGTGTATTTGACATTGTGCTGAAAGATAATCCTGTTTATTAAATCTTCAGAATTTGTAATTTTGCTGAATGATCCCATGATCTTAATTTTTTTTAAAGCTGTGCTGTGATGTGTGTCACATATGTTGATTAGGTTGGCAGTTTTGCCAAAATATTTTTTCCATTTTTTTATTTGAATTAGAAACAAGTTTGTTTTACATGCCACTCCCAGTTCTGTCTCCCTCCCCTCCGCCCTAACCCCCCCCCACCCCACTAACACCCTACCTATCCTGTACCCTTTCTGCTCCCCAGGGAGGTGATGCCTTCCATAGGGGTTCTTCAGAGTCTGTCATGTCTTTTGGGATAGGGCCTAGGTCCACCCCCATGTGTCTTAGCTCAGGGAGTATCCTGAATATGTGGAATGGACTCCCAAAGTCCACACCTATGCTAGGGATAAGTACTACAGAAGGCCCCATGATTTCCGAGGCTTCCTCACTGACACCCAGGTTCCTGGTGTCTGCATCAGTCCCATGCTGGTTTCCCAGCTATCAGTCTGGGGAACAAGAGCTCCCCCTTGTTCAGGTCAGCTGTTTCTGTGGGTTTCTCCAGCCTGGTCTGGACCCCTTTGCTCATCACTCCTTCTCTGCAACTGGATTCCAGTTCAGTTCAAGGATTAGCTGTGGGTCTCTGCTTCTACTTCCACCAGCTGCTGGATGATGGCTATAGGATGGCAAATAAGTCAGTCATCAATCTCATCAGGGAAGGGCATTTAAGGTAGCCTCTCCTCTGTTGCTTAGATTGTTAGTTGGTGTCATCTTTGTAGATCTACAAACATTTCCCTAGTGCCTGATTTCTCTTTAAACCTATAATGTGCCCCTCTATTATGGTGTCTCTTATCTTGCTTTCCTCTATTCTTCCCCCAACTCAACCTTCCTGCTCCCTTATGTCCTCCTCACCCCTCCTCTTCCCCCCTTCTCATTATCCTAGCTCCCTCTCCCCTTCCCCCATGCTCCCAATTTGCTCAGGAGAGCTTGTCCCTGTCCCCTTCCCCGGGGGACCATGTATGTCTCTCTTAGAGTTCTCCTTGTTTCCTAGCTTC